ACTACAGTTGTTGCATGTGAAAACTAAAAGAAGTGCGATGAGAAGTGATCTGGTGAAATATGAAGCAAGTGAACGGAGACAGCTTCACTCTATCCAATCAGAGCAGCAGGATCAACGTACAGCCCGCCCTTCTCTTTGCAGACAGGCAAACTAGCCAGTTGAGTTATTTAGAGCACGGGACACGATCCTGAGAAGGAAGACGAGTGATTATTATAAATCTTCTCTGTATCATTCAATGTCGTCCAGACCGGAGAAGCATTAGAAATCTTAGTGCTAGCTGTTCAAATCATAGGAATTTGTTGCCTATGAAGACGTTGTCTCCCTCCGGGGCTTGTGTTGCTTGGCAACCCTTTTCCCTCTATGGCTAAAGCATGTGTGAGAAACATGCTAACAAATGTTTGTGCTATGAAACTAAATAAATACTGTACTCTGACCCACAAAACGTCTTTGCTAGATTCATGATTGTGTCGTTAGACAAAGCAAGGAAAGTGAACTTGATGTAGTTTTATTGGAATTTGCAGCTGTTGTTGGTAAGTATTGAGTCTGCTTGCTTCTGACATGATTTACTGCATCTATAAAGAAAGCAGTTGATTGGTTACTAAAACAGCTCTACCTATTGATTGGTAAAAGCTATTCCTAATCGGCTTTCAGATTTGCAAAGCTGAGAAGTAGAGGATGATTTCATACGCTCTAAGTTTTTGTCTGACTTGTTGGGGTAGTGGTCAAAACGGCAGTTGTTTGGGAAAAGCTGGTAAATATGTGTTAATGCAGTTACTAAAACAGCTGTATCGTTAGAACCGTAGCATACATTTTTCTTCTGACAACATATTTGAATAGCAGAAAATGTGTTGTCTAACTTGTTGGGAAAGTGGTAAAAATGTCAGTTGTTATAAAAAGGAAATGTATTTGATGCAGTCAGTTTAACAGCTGTATCATTTGATCGGTATAAGATATTGGAGGACGATTTCATACTCTAACTTTTTGTCTTATTTGTTGGCAAAGTGGTCAAAGTAGCTAATTTGTGTCAAAAGTTGTATTGTTGCATTTACATTGATGGGGCCTTTAGAATGCTGAAAAACGTCCCATGAAAGTGAATAAAGATGGACAAAAAAAGGACGAAAAGAAGAATAGTTTAACAAGTATAAAATATATAAAGAAGTTGGATGTACATCTCTCAATCCAGACCAGTCTACATGTTTTAAAGTTTGAACCGTGTTTCTAGCTTAAACGGCGTAAGAGGAGTAGGGTTCCAAATAATAATAAGAAGAAGAAGTATGTCAAAGATTTAAAGTGGGGACTCTTGCTTCGCAAGACCCATTAATAAGTCAGAAGTATGTTCAAGATTTAAAGGGTAAATTGAGGTTAAATGTGTGAATGAAAGGATGAGTGGAGGTTGGATGTGTGGATGGAAGGGTGAATGAATGTTGGATGTGTGGATGGAAGGGTGAATAGGGGTTGGATGCTTGGATGGAAGGATGAATGGGGGTTAGATGCGTGGATACAAGGGTGAATGGGGGTTTGATGTAAGGATGGGGGCTGGATATGTGGATGGAAGGGTGAATGGGGCTGGATGTGTGAATGGGATGGTGAAGGAAGGTTACCTTGAGATCCCTCTAGCACTGGTCCCTCCCAAGGCTCTGCCACACATACCACTGGCAATTTGATGACATTAAAGGAGAAGTTTACCCAAAATCCATAAACTCCCAAGTGATTCCATACATTGAGACTCGTTCAGTGGAGTTTGCCATCTCCCCCTCTCTCTCCCTATAGTGCTGTACTGATACAAATGCAAAAATGGGTCACGTGACTCGTGACGTTGCAGGATGCAGGCCTAGCTCTGCTCCGTTGCCAGTGAATTCATGATTCAGAAATCCACAAAGTGTGAACTAATTTGTTGTTTTATTGAAAGACTACGGACAAATTAGCAATTTTTGTCAAAAGTAAGACTGGTTTTGAGTCAGCAAATGTGTACTTTTCCACCTAAAACATTTGCGATTATTTTATATCAATATTTTACGTAGCCGACTGCCACAGCAGCGGAGATGGGTAACAACAGCATTACACATTAGTTATACAAAGTAAGTAAACAACAACCTGCAAATATGTCTGATGATGAAATACTCACGAGTGATGAAGAAAAGTACTGGAGGGGCGCCGATGGTGTTGTCAAAACGTATTTATTTGAGCCCGAATATTCGGATGAAGAATTGAGGCAAATTGAGCTTCAGATGGCCGCTGGCGCTCTAGCCACCGAAGCCGCAGCAGTAGCTGGACCACAGCCCCAACCCATCCCCAGGATTGTCGCGAATGAGGAATGTTTGTGCTGCAGAGAATTTGAATACGTGACTACAATTCTTACAGAAATGGAGGAACGTAATGATGATGAGGAGCAGTTAGTTTGCTTTTGCAACCACAGGGATTTTACTACCCACAGAAACTGGTGTACGGAAAAAAAATCTGTATTCCAAAAGCTAATTGGAGACACAACCCTATTCCAGTTGGAACAAATGGACAGTTATCTAAATTAGTAAGTAGCTAAACTTTACTTTATTCAATGATAGCTTATCACAAACTTCTATGAGCGGGACCGTTAGTGGGTTTCCGTTTTCACATTAGCCCAAAATACTATGTACATTGTCTCTCAACCCCCCCTGTCATAAATACATAGGGCACATATGCTAACCTATAGAGACCCTAGGCCTCTATGTCTACATGATATGGTGCAATGGTAATAACACAATAACTCGAACTTCAAGAATCAGGCTACATACCTCCGCACACTTGCTTTGTCGCTTTCTTCTTTCTTCTTTTATTTTTTATTTTACCTTTATTTAACTAGGCAAGTCAGTTAAGAACAAATTCTTATTTACAATGACGGCCTACACCAGCCAAACCCGGACGACGCTGGGCCAATTGTGCGCCGCCCTATGGGACTCCCAATCACGGCCGGTTGTGATACAGCCTGGAATCGAACCAGGGGTTCTGTAGTGACAACCTCAAGCACTGAGATGCAGTGCCTTAGACCGCTGCGCCATTCGGGAGCCTCTTCTCAAACGTGCCTTTGTATTTTGGCACTGCGCCAGATCAAGTCCATGGAAATACAGTAGCCACAGATGTAAACCACTCACTCCTGAGTGGCGCAGTGGTCTAAGGCACTGCATCGCAGTGCTAACTGTGCCACTAGAGATCCTGGTTCGAATCCAGGCTCTGTCGCAGCCGGCCGCGACCGGGAGACTCATGGGCGGCGCACAATTGGCCCAGCGTCGTCCAGGGTAGGGGAGGGAATGGCCGGCAGGGATGTAGCTCAGTTGATAGAGCATGGCGTTTGCAATGCCAGGGTTGTGGGTTCGTTTCCCACGGGGGGCCAGTATAAAAAAATATGTATTCACTAACTGTAAGTCGCTCTGGATAAGAGCGTCTGCTAAATGACTAAAATGTAAATGATGTATATTTTAGTATCTTTCGGTTTTCTTTCCCCATAATTTCAGATTGCATATCTCGTTCATATGCATCATCACTGAAGTGCTTGCTACACACATGCAGTGATGCAAGGTTGGCTGCATGAGTATTTACATCGTATTTACTATTTCTAATTGCTATTAACCATCCTCTGCATCTCGCCGTATCTTTTTCCATTGATTTCCTGTATAAAGTGCAGCCAGGGACAGAACACCAGCTTGCTCTTGCTGCCATATCTTTTTCCACTTTGCGTAACTAACTTTACCTGTGATATGCCTATCTATCAACTTTCGCAACAGCTCTTCAACCCCCCGTCTAGCCTCATCCTTCAACTCAGGATAGACAAAATGGCAGGCTCAGGCTGTTGTGCCTTTAAAATGAATAACAAAATACAGATTTTGTTCATTTAATTTCTTGAATCTATACTGACCCCTAAAGAGACATTGAAATACAAGACAGTAAGAGCAATTGAATACTGGTCTCATAAACGGATGTGTCCAAAAACAGAATAATCCATCCATTGGCTTCACATCAGCCAGAAGGCAAAAGCATCTCCTAATTGTAGTATGTCTTTATACAGAAATATATGCTGGAAAATGTCATGCTGAAGGTGCATGTAAATATTGGTTATATAGATTACAATGCATCATGATGCTATTATGGGACTCATACTGGTGAATTCTGGAGCAATTTATCTTAGCATTACACCACTTGATATGGGCTTTTTTTTCTTTATTCCTTTTGTTTGAAATGTCTCTATGGGCTACCCCCATAGCCCTTACCCCCAAACCAACCATGCAAAGGGCCTCTTCCTGTGCAAATGCACAATCAGAAGTTATGAGCAGCGCACCACCCCACAATGGGACGAATGGGCCTTTATGGTGATCAACTGCTGTGCAAACAACCAACTAGTTATAGCATTATTCCTTTAGAGCCATTTTAATAAATAAATAGATACTTTTAAAAGAAACACATGTTCAATCCAATGTTTCATGCTGTTGGAATAATGTTACCAATAATGAGATAAAATACAACAAAACAGTTTTCCTTTTTTTTTTTATAATGAGCTTTTATTGAAAGTATATGATCAATGATACAATATTTTAAGTGTCATAGGATACATCCACTAAATTGTGTTGTTTTCATATAATAAATAATACATTACTATAACACACAGTGTTTACAGTCTACTCCTTTGCACAGACCAAAAATACTTAAGTCAATAGTGCAAACCTCAAACAAAATAACCCTTGGGGTTTTACAATTGTGTTGTCTACAACCCAAATCTTGGAAACCCCAAAGAGGATTGCATTTAGCCTAACAAAGATCATAGAATTTGTCTGCTCATAAAATCTGTGCTCATCTGGTTTTTCTGTGAATAAATACATTACTAGCCAAATATGTAATAACTCCCTCATCTCTTCCAGTTAATATCTACATCTAACAGCTTTCACATCAGTTATTTTCTGGAGTATAAATTAAATAAATTATATATGATAAAGATTAATCACAAAACAATGCAAAGGGAGCCTCTGTCTAATCTACCAGGGTCTCCACATGTTAGCATTGACAGCTTGTGGCACTGGCTGGGGCCGGTTGGGAAGCGAGTTCGTGTGGCTCTCGATTCTGGAGCCAACGTTGGCTTTGAGGCTCAGGAGTCTCTGCTGAATCTGGGGGAAAGCCCTGGAGCTCTGGGCGCAACAGTTCTGACAAGCTGGGTCGACGGACGCAGACATGGACTGTTGGATGAAGTCGTTCACCCTCTGGCACGCGTCCTTGTCCAGGTTCGTTTTGGGGATCAGAGCGGTGACGCGATGCAGGCAGGCTTTGTACCCTTCTTTGTAGCTGTCTGATGAACCTGGGAAAAAAATAGGTGAAAGTTTAGTTTAATGACCCAATGGCAATCATAAAACGTATAAATACAATACAGTAAACATATAAAACATGATATAATTAGCTTTCTGAAATAATACTCACTTTTGACTGGGGATGAAGGGAGATCTCTGAGGAATCGGACGGTCATCTCCAGAATATTGGCTTTCTCAAGCTTTGAGTATGGAGCGTTGTCTTTGCCGACCAGAGGGAGGATGAGAGTCTTCAAGTGACCGAGGCTGTCGTTGATACGTGCGCGCCTTTTCTTTTCTAACAAAGGCTTTAGAGTCTGAAAGAAGCGATAAAACAGCCATTAGTAACTCGAAAAGGGTATAGCATTGAACGAAAGCTACAGTATAGCGAGTTGATGATAAACACATTTGACTCTTGGTTTCTCTTACCTTTCTCAGTTCGTTCGCTTCTTTCCTCTGGGCCACGGTGGACCTTGAGGGGAAAAGCTGGGTAGTCTCAGGAGTGATTCTTGGAGTCATGTCTTTAGCGAGTAGTTGTGCTTTTAGGAGAGTGGCGATGTGCTCTTTGCGAGGCGGTGAGCTGCGGTGTGCTGAGGAGCGGGAGAGCGCTCTATTTATGCGAGTCTCGTGCGTCGAGGGGGAGGGACCTCCATCTTTTGTATTGGAGTCTTGACGCAGGGGACTATGCCTTTGGGACAGCAAAACATGCACTCATAACTTGACCATCTGGCCTGTGGGGATATGGGATTGAATTCTGGCTTCCACAACTGACATGTCTCACTGGTGGTATTGCATTTTGTGGTAGCTATAACTTTATAGATATTTAAAGTTGAATTCATTCATGTGCACCATCTCCATCCTTGCATATAACCTAAATGCTTATATAACACGTGGGGCCCTAAACTATCCTGAAAGCCAATTTAAAGCTAAAACTGTAAAATATGATAACATCATGTTTAATAATTTATTCAGTTGCATTTATTAGATAGCCTACAACTTGCTTATTGGCACATTGTAAATTGCTTTATTGCCACAGTGGGCTAGTGGAACATAATGCACTTGGGGGGAAGTTGTATCAATAGTTCTTATAATCATGCTTCTATTCAAATGTAGATTATGGGTCTCGGTTTGTTTACTTCAGTCTTGATCTAGAGTTAGGACACAGGCAAATGTGGCCAGACAAACGTTCTAAAATATGGGTAATGCAGTGGAACCATATACAGTGGGGAGAACAAGTATTTGATACACTGCCGATTTTGCAGGTTTTCCTACTTACAAAGCATGCAGATGTATGTCATTTTAATCATAGGTACACTTCAACTGTGAGAGGCGGAATCTAAAACAAAAATCCAGAAAATCACATTGTATGATTTTTAAGTAATTAATTTGCATTTTATTGGATGACATAAGTATTTGATCACCTACCAACCAGTAAGAATTCCGGCTCTCACAGATCTGTTAGTTTTTCTTCAAGAAGCCCTCCTGTTCTCCACTCATTACCTGTATTAACTGCACCTGTTTGAACTTGTTACCTGTATAAAAGACACCTGTCCACACACTCAATCAAACAGACTCCAACCTCTCCACAATGGCCAAGACCAGAGAGCTGTGTAAGGACATCAGGGATAAAAATGTAGACCTGCACAAGGCTGGGATGGGCTACAGGACAATAGGCAAGTAGCTTGGTGAGAAGGCAACAACGGTTGGTGCAATTATTAGAAAATGGAAGAAGTTCAAGATGACGGTCAATCACCCTCGGTCTGGGGCTCCATGCAAGATCTCACCTCGTGGGGCATCAATGATCATGAGGAAGGTGAGGGATCAGCCCAGAACTACACGGCAGGACCTGGTCAATGACCTGAAGAGAGCTGGGACCACAGTCTCAAAGAAAACCATTAGTAACACACTACGCCGTCATGGATTAAAATCCTGCAGCGCACGCAAGGTCCCCCTGCTCAAGCCAGTGCATGTCCAGGCCCGTCTGAAGTTTGCCAATGACCATCTGGATGATCCAGAGGAGGAATGGGAGAAGGTCATGTGGTCTGATGAGACATAAATAGAGCTTTTTGGTCTAAACTCCACTCGCCGTGTTTGGAGGAAGAAGAAGGATGAGTACAACCCCAAGAACACCATCCCAACCATGAAGCATGGAGGTGGAAACATCATTCTTTGGGGATGCTTTTCTGCAAAGGGGACAGGACGACTGCACCGTATTGAGGGGAGGATGGATGGGGCCATGTATCGCGAGATCTTGGCCAACAACCTCCTTCCCTCAGTAAGAGCATTGAAGATGGGTCGTGGCTGGGTCTTCCAGCATGACAATGACCCGAAACACACAGCCAAGGCAACTAAGGAGTGGCTCCGTAAGAAGCATCTCAAGGTCCTGGAGTGGCCTAGCCAGTCTCCAGACCTGAACCCAATAGAACATCTTTGGAGGGAGCTGAAAGTCCGTATTGCCCAGCGACAGCCCCGAAACCTGAAGGATCTGGAGAAGGTCTGTATGGAGGAGTGGGCCAAAATCCCTGCTGCAGTGTGTGCAAACCTGGTCAAGACCTACAGGAAACGTATGATCTCTGTAATTGCAAACAAAGGTTTCTGTACCAAATATTAAGTTCTGCTTTTCTGATGTATCAAATACTTATGTCATGCAATAAAATGCAAATTAATTACTTAAAAATCATACAATGTGATTTTCTGGATTTTTGTTTTAGATTCCGTCTCTCACAGTTGAAGTGTACCTATGATAAAAATTACAGACCTCTACATGCTTTGTAAGTAGGGAAATCTGCAAAATCGGCAGTGTATCAAATACTTGTTCTCCCCACTCTATGTATGTAAAATAATGAAATGTAGATTGTTTTAATTATTTATATCAAATAGCCTACATTCTGTTAGCCAATTTGATGTCGACCTTTTTCCAAATTAGGCTACTAAGACTGACTTTTCATGTACCTCTATATGAACCAAAATGCAGAAGTTGTATTTATACATCTTGTATTTTATGTAAGTCTTTGTCAATAGAGTGCTCTCATTTGCTCTGTGCTGCTATGAGTTGCTGTTAAACTCAAGCGCTTGCCACGCGCCATGGATACGCAACAGATGGGCGTCTGTTGCACGCCCATCCCCCACGTCCCTGCCATTGCACTGCACTTGTTCCGTGTCCCATTGCCTACCCATGCTCTTGATTTGTGCTCCCGTCACCTATCTGTTTGAACTGCATGTTTTTTCAAACATATTTGGCGTCAGTAGCCTATATTCCATCTGCATGATGATGAGTGGGGGTAGGGATAGTGGTTTACAATACCAGCTCTCACAGTTTTGGATCAGAATTAGAAGTTCAACCGTCAAATTTCGAAGTGTTAACTCCCTATTAACTCCCTATTTTTAAGGTTAGGGTTAAGTGCAGGCATTCATTACAAATTCTTAAGGTTAGGCATTAACTCAGACAGCCAATATGTGACACAATACAGCTGGTTTTGGATTGTTAAATGCTGGTGAAACTGTAATGGCTTGTCAAATCTTCTTAACAGGCTTGTGAAATCTTCTTAACAGTCAATTGCAGCCTTTATGCTACAATGTACTGTGCCAAAGTATATGTCATATACAAAGCATATGTCCTATACTTTGTCCATTACTTTTAGATTACATTAAGCTACAAGTCTCTCCAAATGATTTATGCATTGCTTATTCAATCTTGCTTATCGAGGTAACCTTGCACCATCCATATGCTTTATAAATACATTTTGCATTCTTGGCTACATTTATAGTGTAGGAGAGATGGAAGTTATCATATAGACTTACACTGTTTATAGTTATATGAAGACGCTACCCGGGTGCAAGCTGCCCTTGCTTGTAGTCTCTTTGTGAGACAGCTAGGGCACTAGCCAGAAAGCGATAGGCCTACGCGTTTTTTTTGCACGCGCCCTTTTACCCAATGGGGCCCCAATTAACTGCCGCGAAGTCCAGTCTGGGAACAGGGCTTTCGAGATCACACACAAAATCCTGGAGGGCTTTCTGTTAGGGCCCTCTTTGTCCATACTTTGGCGTGGGTATCCCATCTGTACAAGCTGAATGGACAGTGATCCTTTGTTGGGGAATACCTCGAAATGTGGAGGAAATGTAAATGTTTTTGTTGGCCACTGTGTATGAGGGGTCACACAGGAGCTATAGGACAGACAAGTGTTCCTTTCAGCTGGTGATAATGTCTGTGTGCATCAGGATTTAGGCTACATGAGATTTTCATGTTTGTCAACTAGTGCATCTATTTCAGTATGGCAATACTCCCAGTGCAATAAACATTTTCATTACGAGATTACTTTCCAATTAAGAGCATCAAATTACTATTTTGCACAATGAGGATCTATTACATGGTTTTAAATCATATAATTTAACCATGCCCAATATTTATGCAATTGGTATATTTTCATTATCCAGTTCATGTCAATGTGGTACAGGATTACACTATGAAAGTCTTAGAATGATTGTTCTATTGGCCTATCATGTTGTAAATAAGATCATGCAATTCATCATAAATGGTGATAATCTGTGTTTGAACGGGTTCGCAGACGCAGTGCAGCCCCTCATTGAACTCGTTATGAAAACGGCATGAGACTGACACGAGCCAACATTTCAAGACAGATGGGGGTCAAATGAAAATTCAGTGAAGCATAAAGGGGAACATCAAGCCTCTATTTGGGGTAGACTAGCCTTGTTGGAACAATTATTCAATTATTATAAGAATGCCATGGATTTGCCATCATGAAATGTACATTTTCCAATATAAAATTGATCCAGATGTTAAATGTGAATTGGCCTACATCAAAACTGTATTTGCTAGCATAAGATAACTATATTGCTGTGATGGATTCATTGTTGTCCATAACGGATATTGATTGCCATTCTAGTGGCATTTGAGTCATAGGCTATCCTCCCTATAGGTCTTTAGCAGAATGAAGGAGTACTTATCTATATCCAACATCCTCGTGACGACCAACCAATGAGTACTGTTACATGCACACAATAATGCGATTATTGTGGATAGTCAGATTAATATAATCGTTCGATTAAAATGTTTACATGCTTTACAAGGAGAACAAATTCCCTAATAATCCTGTTTACATGGACACATCTGAAATCAGGCTACCTGATGGCACTCTGATACATGCAGAAAATCGTCAATCAAAATATAAATTATACCACAGCGACCATGTTATTTTTGGGAAGCATATTTGATTCTGAGTTCGGACATACAACGTTTTTATGTGAAAAGGACTTATAAGACGCATACATTCAGTTGTTCTGAACTCAGGTCACTCGTGCTAAAGAGGGAGGCTCACTCGGCTGGTGCTAGCACATGCGCAGATCAAATACATTGCTGAAATGCCAATTAAGGTGTTTACAAGCCCTAATAATTCTAAAGATTGCTCAGAAAACCTGATGTTTTATTCAGCATATGCTTACTTTGATTTTCACCTTACGTAAGATAAGCAGAGTAAGGTGTTTACATGACTTTTGCATAATCTGCCTCCTGATCCTCAACACGGGGGCCCCTCAGGGGTGCATGCTTAGTCCCCTCCTGTACCTGTACTCCTTGTTCACCCACGATTGCGTAGCCATGCACGATTCCAACACAATCATTAAGTTTGCTGACGACACAACGGTGGTAGGTCTGAACACCGACAACGATG